TTGTGTATTTATTTCCTAGATTAGCTTTGGGAAGTCCTGGGGGGGGAGGGGGGAAAGGGGTAGGTTGGTGTTATAGATTTATATGTATATATATGTATGATTTTTTAAGGAGGTGCCCGGTGGTACCCCAACTGCACTGACGGGATGGTTGAGGGAGAAAGGGAGGTAGGAAAGAGGGAGGAAGGAGGAGTGGTGGTAGGATAGTGAGGAGGAAGGTGTAGGCAAGTGAGAGGGTGGTGCAGAAGGGGGACACCGGACACGTCCGTGAATGTATTGATTGGTGTTGATTCTTTTTATGGTTGATATTGTGATAAAAGATTTATGTTTTTGTTTTTCAATGAAAAATCAATAAAAATTTATTTAAAAAAAAAAGAAAAAAAAAAAGAAAATGTAATCTAGTCAGCAGTAAGATTAATGGAACAATGTGCTATGAGTCAATAATCCAAAGAATAAATAAATGAATCTTACAGGGTTTTTGTTAAGGCAAAAATAGAAGGAGGAAGGTATGTTGGATATGTTCACTGCCTTGTAAAAATAATAATAATAATAATAATAATAATAATAATAATAACAACAACAACAACAACAACAACAACAACAACAACAAAACAACAATATAGGTGGGATACAAATAAATAAAAAGAATGAATAAATACACACAAAAATACACACACTAGGTTTTATGGCTTGGGAAAGGAATAATTTTTGAAGATACTTGAAAATTCATATTTTATATTCTTCTCTCTAAACTAGGCAAATATAAGGAACACTTTCTCTCATGTGTTATCCTTGGGTTAACGTCCTTAGATGAGCCTCTGCTCTAAGTATGCCAACTTTCTAGAGAAACCTGACAAATATAAAGAATTCGCCATTTTTAACAGGGCATCTACATCAGGGGTCCCCAACCTATGGTCCGTGGCCCAGTCCCATGCTGTGGGCTCTTGGCCAGCGGGCTGTGGAAACGGCTGGTTGGTGCATGCACATGTAGGTGCACATTCCCCCACATTCATGCTAGCGCCCGCAGCCCCATTTGCACATGCGCACGGGCGCAAATGGGGATGCTAGCGCGGGGCAGGTGTCCGCAGCCCATTTGCACATGCGCTGCTAGCCACCATGGTGCACGGCCATTTGCGCATGCGCATGGCACTAGCACATGCTGCATACACGCATGCACGCACACACCAATTTTGAAGCTGCTCTCCTTCCCTCCAGTCCTCAAGCCCGGAAAGGTTGGAGACCTCTGATCTACATTACAGGTTATTCTTGGGTTATGATGTCAATGGGGATCAGAATCTCCATTGCTAAGAGCAATGTGGTTGTAAAGTGCAAAGTAACATGACTGCATTGCTTAGTGATGGCAATCAGAGTAGTCCTGGTTGCTTTTGTAACCCCAGCACTGTGCGGGTCATTAAGTGAGCACCTCACATGACCATGACATAGATGGAAGTCCCAAGCAAACAAACTGGTGGGGAAGTGCTGTGAATGGGAGGGTGCCACAGGCACTGGACAGGCAGTGCAAAGTGCAAGTGGGTAGGTGCTGCGAATAAGTGCTATAGAGCATGGGTGAGCAGTTGCTATGGAGCATGGGCAGGTACTATAGGAGAGCATGCCGCAGGCGCTATAGAGCTTATGTGGGCAGGCAAAAAAGTGGTGGGGGCAACTTTAGGAGCATCTTGCAATCTCCTGGCAGCTTTCCCATGGATTTTGCTTATGGAAGGCCAGAAGGGAAGGTTGTAAATGGTTATTATGTCTGTCAACGCTGCTAATATTGAATATTCTTGCTTTGACAATATATGCAGAACTGTCTGGTATTTTTAGAGTTAAATCAGGTGACAGGGAAAGGGGAGGAGAAAATAAGAAAAGCCCGGGGGAAAAGAAACGGAAGTGAATCTTTGCCCTCCAAGTTAATTGGAAGATGTGAATCATGACCCCAAAATAGGGGAGGGGAAATGTCTGGAATATTATGTGCAAAGGAAGGGAAATTCAGACCTTAGCATCCACCATGTTGTGCTGACACTCTGTAATACTAATAAAAGCTTTTAGGTTAAAAAAAATGCCTGAAAGTTCTTTGAAGTGTTTCGTTAATCAGACACATGACATCATGCTAAGGTCTCAACTCCTTTTAAAACAACCTGGGGTCCCGAACTCCATCAGACACATGACAATGTCATCTTGGGATACTGTAACCATCATAATTGAGAGCTGGTTGCTAAGCAGCCAAATTGTGCAGAAACTGCAATGGCAAACTTGAGGGCCAGTCACATATCTCCCTTATTCAGTTTTGTGTAACTTTGAACAGGCACTGAACAAGGGATCATAACCCAAGGACTACCTGTAAGAATTTACTATCTTGAACATCTCACCAGATTTATTTAAGTTTTTCATGAAATATCTGTCAGGGCCTTTCTTTAAATGGGTTTTGAGATTAAGGCTTATGCTAATGGATTTATTTCAACATTGAATGCTATTGCTTAGATTTAAAAAAAATATCAAACAAAATGTTAAATACCTGAATTATAATAGTCTAGTACATAATAGGTATTCTACAATCTCTCTTGAATCACCCCTATTTTTTAGTGCAAAGCTATTGCAAGTAAATGAAACCACTTCCTTCTTAAATAAAGGCAAAGAGTACACAAAGTCAGAAGCACTCCTCCCTACTTCATAGGTCTTATACAGAAAATAGACCTATGATACATTCAATAATTAAT